TGCCCCCCCCCCCCCCCGGTTTGGCTCCGCGGTCTCATCCACTCCCAGAATGACGGATCAAACCAGGACACAATCCACAAGTCAGCACGTGCCGTTCATGCAGTTGCCACGCTCCGCGGCCAGTGTCTGCCAGTGGCCAGAGGCAGTAAGGAATACTGGGAAAGCTGGACTGAATGGCTGGGAAAGGACCACATTTGCAAGTAAACTGCAAGCTTCAGAATAGCCATCCTGACGTTTTGGACAACAGCTCCCAGCATTCCTGACTATTGCTGAATGCTGGCTGGGGCTGATGGGTGTTGAAGTCCAAAACAACTGCGGGTGCTACACTGGGAAGGCTTGCTTTCAGTGATGGTCTGATGCTGACGTCTCCTGGCAGGTCTGGAAAAGACCCCTGTCTGGAACCAGGGAGGTGTTGCTGCTGCACACCGTGCCAAGCTCCCTGGAAGGCTGCTTTCCCTGTTCCGTTAGCCTTTTTTTCGGGGCGGCAAGAGAACAAGTCATGTGGTTGCTGCCATGACCCCCAGTCGTGCCAGAGCCACTCCTTGTTTGCTTTTTAGCGGGGCCCTCGCTCTTCCAAGAGGCCTCAAGCACTTTACTGCCTCCCAACTGTTTACTTGTGGATTTCCCTGTCTCATAAACCCATAATGACGGGTTTACCAGGCAAAGGGGTGAGGTTGGAAGGGAGTGGCTCTTAATCACGTCTGTCTGCTGACTGTGGGACCTCAGAAAGCTCAGCCCGTCTTGTGCCACAACTGCCGCAGGCCAGAGTTCAGGCTTGGCGCTCGCGATGTGGCTTTCTTGAAGCCAGCCGTGCCTTACTCTCCAGCACCGCATTCCTCGAAAGGTGGCAAGGGTCTCTGGTGGTGCTCTTTGCAAAGTGCCCGTTTTGCCCCTCCCTTGCTTTCATCTCCACAGGAACCTCGTGCTTCCTGAGCATCCAGCAAGTAAGTCAACGAAGTGGTGGCCACCAACACGCACATTGTCCCTTCTCCTCTGACTGCTGCCACAAGTTTATGTACAGGAGGCCATGAAGGCAAAGCCTTGCTAGGTGCAGGGAAGGAAAAGCCCTGTCCGGCTCCTGCAGCGTGAATGCCTCTGCCACCTACCTGCTTTACGTCCAGCAGGAAAGGTTCAGCTTCACGTTTTCCCCTTGCCACCAGGACAGGCTGATCCTACGGGGCATGCCAAGGAGGTTTTAGCTCCTCTGGCAATGTGGCTGGCTGGTAGGAGGAGAAAGGTATCATCAGCGCTTTGTCCTGAACACGTTAGCAAGAGCTTCTCTGCTTGGATGTTCATACAGAAAAGCAGGGAGCTATCAGAGGAAGGACAGCAGGTACCCATTTTCCACAAGAGTCTCTGTCCAGCCTGTTGGTGCAGCTGATTGCCAGAAGAGGTGCTGAGCGCAACACCCTTACCCCAGCAGCGCGCTTGGTTCCCGCCTGGGCAGCAGGAGGCAAAGGGCCCCTCTACACCAAACACAGAAATGCACCAGATGGCCAGTAGCCCTACTGAGAACTAGCAACCCTGTGGGAAATTCCGATCAGGGTTATCTATTTCTGTACTGCTCAGCAGGCCTTTGAATTGTGGTGCTGGAGGAGACTCCTGCGAGTCCATTGGACCACAAGAGATCAAACTGGTCAGTCCCAGAGGAGATCAAACCTGACTGCTCTTTAGAAGGCCAGATACTGAAGGTGAAACTCCGATACTTCAGCCACCTAATGAGAAGGAAGGACTCCCTGGAGAAGAGCCTAATGCTGGGAACAATTGATGGGAAAAGGAGACGGGGACGCCAGAGGCTGGGGTAGCTGGGTGGGGCCACTGGGGCGGTGGGGGTGGGCTTGGGTGGACTCCGGGGGATGGTAGAGGACAGGAGAGCCTGAAGGAATGTTGTCCATGGGGTCGCGATGGGTCGGGCACCACTTTGCAACTAAACACAGCATTTTAACTCTTTAACTTTTTAGACCGTTCCCAGACTGTTCCTTACCGTGGTATCAGGATGGTTTAACAATAAGACAAATAGAATAAAACACAGCATCCTAGTCAAATTCTTAACCAATAAACAATAAAACTCATATTAAAACATCAAACCTTAAAACATTGGGAAAATAAAATTTGTTGCATGTGGATTGAGTTTAATAACTGTATAGGATCTTCAGTTCCCACTGAAAGAATCCAGATGTTCAAACATGCATTGGGAATTCCAGGAGTGCAATTTTTTAAAGAAATTGTGTTCTTGCAGTCATTGCTGCTTGCTCTTTTGTGGCTTTTCTGCTGTGTGGTGCTTGCTCCTTGTCTGCCCTGGATCGATGCACCTCTTGGCTTGCCTGTTGCGTGCAGCGTTCACCTGGCTTCACCTGTGCAATTGATGCGACCGTGCAGTAAAGCAGGCACAGTTGCAGGACGCACTGTGTGGCCCAGAGATTTTAAAGTCGTGCTTCTAATCCTGAGAACTGCGCTCAGACTCTGCAGTTGGGTTGTCATGGAATGTGGGTTATCATGCCGTCCGAACCCAGCCAAGATCCCGACCCAGGACTCCACAACCCACACTCAGCCCCTGAGTGTAAGCGATTGTGGTCTCTGAACAAAGTCAAGGTTTGTGAAGAGGTTCTAGAAGGTGCATAAGGAAGATCTGGGGAAATGCTAAAGGCCTGAAAGGTGGCTCAATAGAATTATCAGAGCCAGGATGGTGTCTTACCCCTTATAACAAGTAGCCAATCCAAAGCAAGTTATGGAGAGAGAGAGAGAGAGAGCGGGAGGGAGAATGCAAATTTACTCCAAAAGTAGAAAATGCAAATTTACTCCCCAACCATACAATCTGCATTCTATATCAAGAAAAGCAGAATTCCTCTGTCTACATAATTTAAATAAATGGATTTGATTTGCATAAGCATTATGGCTGGTGAAACTCTGCTTTTCTTGGTAGAGAATCTGGATTGCCGGATGGCCGAATTTCCCTTCCACTCCCACAGGATGGATTTGATGCTGCTCTGGTCAAGTCCTCAGCTCAGCTGGGCTCCTTAATGTCCACGGGTATCATTCACTAATGGACCGAGAGCACTGCATCTCTCCCGAAGGGCCGATTGCACCGATTAAACCCCGCCTTTCCAGCCTCCGCCACCTCCTTTCCTGTGGTTTTCGTGAACCACGTTATGCAATGCAAGGTGCATAACAAGGTGGAGTTTGTGGTCCTGTCATCCCTGGGGATTCCCTGGAGAATCTGCACACATGGACCAGATGCTTCCATGGATGGGCAGAACCCTGCCTCCCATCAAGGAAGGAGCGCTTGAGTGAACACCATGTCAGCCTGACCTGAATTGTCTGGTCATGCGCATTTCGTGCTTTGCTTTCAGTTTGCTTCAAAGTCATTTGTAACCTTTTAATTAGGGTTTTATTTTTAATTTGGGACGTTTTCATTAGTTACCTTGAGCGGCTTGTTTCGCTGGAAAGGCAGGGTGCAAATTATTTTTTAAAATACGGAGAGAGAACCATGGTTTCCGTCATTAGTAGTAGCTGGTAGCTGAGCACTTTTGGCAGGAGGGACTTCAGTTTGTGGCCTGTGGCCTGTGGCACTGGCATTTATTTATTTAATCCAGATATTTCCAGCCCCTTGGCAGAGTTCTCCCTCCTCTTATTTTTTTCTTCGCAACCCTTCCCTGTAAATTAGGCTGAAAGAAGAACAACAGGCTATTATTGGTATTATTACATTGCATTTAGAAGTTGCCTGTTTCTCTTGTGAGGAATTCGAGGTGGCTTGGATAGCTGCATTTTTGCCTCACGACAACAACCTTTCAAGGTGGGCTACGCTGAGAGTCCCTGATTGGCGGAAAGAGGGTTTCCCGATAGGTCTTGCGAACAAGATGGCATGTGACGATGTGGGTGTGCCTGGTTGCGAGCCGGCACTTTGGCCCGTCCGCCGTGGTGACGTTGCTTCCCGGAAAGGTTCTGGCGTGGTGGAATCCAAGAGCCGGATCCAGCCCATGCCTCCAAATCACCGCCTGCTCTTCCAGAGAAGTTGAACAATGCAGCAGACTTGCAGGAAATCGCAGCTCCTCTTCTGTGATTAGAAAAAGCGTGTAGTCGCTACCCTCTTCCTTGCCATCCTGGGAGGTCGTCTCCCACCCACGATGGAGAAGGGGGAAGTGGGCTTCTTCCCTCCCTAATTGCGATGGGCTGGGACACCTAATTGCCTTTTTCTCTAATGCTGTAATCGCACTCAGAATCACGCGGACGACTTGCCATTGTGTTGCGGGAATGCCCTGAAACACAGCATATTGTGCAACTGACGTGAGAGCTTTTACTTTATTTTGAAGTTGCCTTGTATGGGAAGACTCTCCCATTCCCCTCTCCCAGAGTTTGTAAATGCGTCTCCCTGGTAGCCTCCCTGGAAATCGGATGCAGCAGTGGAATTGAGGCACCTCGTGGCAGGGATGGTCCAGTCCAACCGATTGCAAGCCTGAGCTGGGGGCTTGAGTGGAGAAGTCAAGTGGGAGATCAGAGCGGAACCAGTTGGCTGCCAAGGAGAAATACCTGGCCGAAACCAGCGAGGCAAGAGTCTGCTGAACCCAGCCTGGTGTCCTCTGGAAGACATGAACAACTTCCAGCCATCCTGGCCAGGGGTGCTGGAAGTTGGAGTCTAACACGCCACGTGTACACCGGATCGGGGAAGGCCTCGGCAGCTAGGCCAGGGGGCTAGGCAGGAGCACCGTGATGGTGCAGGGAGCACGGTATGGCCCGGCTTCCTCCCGGCCGGTGCCCCCTGCGTCACCAATGCAGTTGCTTCCTGGCATCTGACAAGCGCCACGGCCCATTCAGGAGCACCCACCTCTGTGCTGGGGGTCAACCAGGCGGATGGTTTCCTGGGGCCACCATTCCGTGGCCGCGGTGAGTGGCAGGACCTGGTTTCCCAGGGCCCCCGGCTGCATCCTCCCGACCAGGCGGAGCTCTGGCGCCCGCGCAGCTCGCCTGGCTGGCGTGATAACCGAGTCGCTTCTCTCCCACAGGTAAATCGCACCTGGCCATTGTCCAGAAGGTGAACAGCGAAGGGGAGGGGGACCCCTTCTACGAGGTGCTGGGCCTGGTCACGCTGGAGGACGTGATCGAGGAGATCATCAAGTCGGAAATCCTGGATGAGTCGGACATGTACAGTTAAGTCCTTTCTATGTCTGCGCTGCTTGGGGGCGGGGGAGAGATTTCGGAGCACTAAGAAGGCCCTTCCGTGGGTCCCCCACGCACACTCTCCAGTGGTGTGTGTGGACTGCAGTCTGCGTGATTTGGATTTATCCATGCGATGTCCCAGTTGCATGGAGACGCACACACAAGCCGACACACACATCCCTAGAGGAAAAGTGCCACCAAACTGATCAAGGGACTGGAGCAAGACCTCCACGGGAAAAGACAACAGTGCCCAGGGTGTCTTAGCTTAGACAAGTGGTAGCGAAGGAGTCCTGGGAAAGAGAGTCTGAAGCTGTGCGTGGCACCGAGAAAGCGGCTAAAGCAAGCTTCTTCCCCTCCTTGACGTAAGACTTGAACCAGGGTTATCCCATGAAGCCAAGTGGTGGGAGATTCGGGGAAGATAAAAGGAAGGACAGCTTTAAAAATATGGAAAGGGTTATCTCCAGATGTCATGACGGTCACCAGATTTGGATGGCTTTAAAGCAGGATTGTTTGTTTATTATTAAATTTATATTCCAATGATCTGTGGTCCCGAAGGACATTCTCTGAGCAGATTGCAAAACACCCCGAATCAAAACAATAAGTTGCAATACTGCTAAGACAACAATATACATAATGTGACACTGAACCAATGATCTAAACAAACACTACCATAAACACAGTTCATAAGAATAGAATGCACAGCTGAGAGCTTAAATGGTAGCATAAGAATTACATTGATTGCCCTATTGTGGCAGGAACAGCTGTTAATGAGTCCTAGTGATGGAGGCTGTAGATTACCTCCAGTGTCTGAGGCAACATGCCCATCTACACCAGTGGCTGGGGAACATGGGTGGAGGGTGCATTTGCCTTCATGCCCACTGGAGGGCTTCCTAGGAGTGCCTGGTCAGGCAGGAGTAGCAGCCTGGGTTGGATCAGGCCGGCGGTGTGGGCTTCTGGGACGCAGCCGATGCCCTTGCGGGGAATACAGCCGGCCTGCATGCAATAATGCATTGCGTTGGCAAGCGCGTTTTCTCTGCGACGCCGTTCTTTGGATCATGTTCCTTCCCTCTGTGTAGCTGACAACCGCACCAAGAAGCGAGTGAGTAACCAGAAGAACAAGAGGGACTTCTCGGCCTTCAAAGACAACGACACGGAGTCCAAGGTGAAGATTTCCCCACAGCTGCTCCTGGCTGCTCACCGCTTCCTCTCCGTGGGTAAGAGGCCCCCTGGATTTCCTCCCCGAACCTGTCCCTCTGGGTAGAGGGGCACGGAGGGAGCCCCAGTGGGCAGGGCGCTCCCCTGACTGAGTCCCTGGGATTGCCACAGCTCGCAGGATCTCTTGGCCTTGTGCAGTTTATTGGCCGCGCTCCCTTTGTTTGTTTCTTGCCGTGCCCCTGCATGATGCGTTCGCTCCCGGTGGCAGAACACGTTCCCTGGTGCAAATGAATAACTGATTTGGCCTTAAGGGTGAGTGATGCATTATGCTCCAGTGACAAGTGATTAATTATGTCCTGATCATTTCTTATTAACTATTTCCTGAGTGTTAGCTAATTCGTAATTAAAGGGCAGCTCAGCTGCTGCAAGAGCCATTGCATCTTACGTGGCACAGTCCCCCGGCTGGACCGTAGCCCCCACTGGTCATCGGTGCAGGTGCAGAAGGCAAGGACAAGCACAAGGCGTTGGGCCCGAGGCCCTGGAAGAAGGCGTCTCTAAGGACACGGGAGCTGCTGCATGTGTAGAACAGAGCTGATAAATGCACGAGCCAAAAGGCCGAGCTTCATGGTTGACCTGGTTTGCTCAAGAGCAACAAAACAGACGGACTGGCTACCATTCCTGGCTCCGCCAGCCCTAAACCTGGGGTCATTTGCAGCAGGGGCAGGTGGAAGCTCAGTCTCCAACCCTTTTGGGGCTTCAGCGCCAGGGCATTGGCCTGCTTTGGGAAGTCCTAAATGTCCAGAGATCAACTGCGTGCCCCGATTTGAAGCAGTCTGGGGGTCTCCCAGATGTGTTGGACTACAGCTCCCAGTGTTCCCCAGCCAGATCCCAGCATCCCCCATGGCTGGCTGGAGGATGCTGGGAGCAGCTGCACTCTGGGAGGGCAAATTCCAGGTTAGGAAAGGCAAATTCAGAAGTACACTGAATAGGATGTTTCAGCACTGCCTTCTCTCTCCGGACTATGGATAATAAGCAGACTTCTGTGAGGCTGATGGCAACAATTCATGTGAGCATGCAAAGGGAGATAAACATACTCTATTGATTACATTAATTTTTAAAGCTATTTTTGTTGGTTTGCAAGACTGATGCAGTCCAAATGTACATCAGCAATGAACAGCTGGCATTTTCAAACACGGGTTCTGCAGCTCATCCCTACAAATTATTAACCATTAAAAAATCATGGGAAGAGGTCAGAAAATTTGACCTTAAACTTTTTGTCTGTTACCACAGTCCTGTTGCCCTTGTTCCCTTGAGTGCTATAAATATTTCCATAAACTATTAAGTGCATTGCTGAAAAAACCCGAACGGTAAAGGAGGCAAACTTGGGTTGAGTAAGACATCGGCAAACGGGGGTATCCCCTTCCAGTCAGTTGCTCTGTCCGTGGGAGAGCACTCCCTGTTACAGTTCAAATTCAGTTTGTCTACACAGAACAGCGGCCTGTGATTTTACTCCCGAGAATCAAGCCCGGAACTTGCAAATCCCTTTGTTCCCTTGCAGACTCTGCTTAATCAGTGAATCCCTGTTTGTTTCAAGCCATGGTTTTCCAGAGGGGGCCCTGCCCCCTGTGCCCTTCTTAGTGCCAGCTGCATCCCTAATGCTGCAGCCGTGTGTCTTGAGAGGGCTCGGCTGAGCATCAGTTGCAAGTGTAGGACCAACGCCACCTCCATCCGAAAGACATGCCCTTTCCCATTGGAAATGCCACACCCCATCCGGCCATGTCCGATTTTAAGGGCAGGTGGGAAATCCACCTCTTGAGAATGGTTATTCCCACTGCCTGTCCCTCAGCATGCTTTCTCTCTATCTGTTCCCCCCAGCAAGGCCAACAGAAGCCCCAAGGCTGAGAGTCAGAGAGGGGGGTGAGGGCCTCTGGCTGGGGGGAGGGGGAGAGAGGTGAGGCCTCCGTGCATTTGCCCCGGGGGTGGGGGCTGCTCAAAGTGGGAGAGTCCTACCTTTCCTTCTTCTCTGCTTCCTATCAAAGCTGAAATTGCAGAGAGCTTAGGAGGAAAATGCTAGTTTTTGGCAGGGGCTGCTTCTTGGGATGGGCTGCATAGATAAGGACAGGACAATTCCAGCCCAGAGAATGCAGGCTTGGTGCCCCAGATCCTGGCCAGCCTTACTCTTCCCAAGGACCATTTCCAGCATTCCTTTTACAAAGCATAGCAAAGTGTGGTGCAGCTGCATCAAAGCCCAGGGGGCAGGATGCTTCCCCCACTGACCCCAGGGTTTGGTCTCTGAGACAGTGTGCAGGGGCAGGATGAGGCCTCAGCCTGAGAAGCATTTCCTCTGGGTGGAATTGTGGGCTGAAAATCTGAACCCAGCTCCAATGTGTGGCATGAAACCAGCACGGGGTTGCCACGTGCTACTTCTACAGCCTCCCCCTGCAGTGTGGAGCTAATATCACGGGCCTACCCTGAAGGACGGTTGTAATCACTCCCGGCATCGCCTCGACAGCTGACTCCCTTCCCCCGCCCCTCGGCTGCACAGTGGAGATAACAGACCGCAGTTGCCTTGGCAGGGCTGTTTTTCCATTTGTAATTCGTACCCAGCAAGACCTGAATTAAAATGCCTGAGGTTAAATGCGGAATTCTTCTGTGAGATCTTTGGGTCACCCTCTCACCTGCCCCGGGGGAGGGTTGAAAGGCTCTCCCCTCCCCCTGCAAGCAATGCACGAGTGACACTTCCCCCCGGGTCTTTCTGTCCTAAACTGTGGCTTGCCAGCCAGATCGGCCCGTTGGAACCCTCTTGGTCACAAATGGACCACTGCCATAAAATGCAAAGGGGAAGGGCTTTCTCTGTGGTGGCCCCCAGCTATGGAATGAGCTGCCCACTGAGGCCCGCCTGGCGCCAAGCCAACCTTATCTTTCTGGCGCCGGTGGAAACAGCCCTTTCGGCGGAGGCATTTGAGACATGCCTCCAGGTGGAGAGTTGGAGGACGCAGCCCAAATGGTTTGCAGCTCTGCCCTGTATCCCGTGCCGCTTGAGCCGAGCTCAATTTGTTGTTAAGTTTTCTCGTGTTTTGGGAAAACACCGTGCCCAGAGTGTAGAGAAGATGAAAATGATGGAGATTTAATACAAATATAGGGTGAAACATGAAGAACTGGACACGTAATGTGTTTTTGCAGATTGGAATGGCATGCCTCTGGCTTGCTGAAGGATTTATTTTATATACGTGTATTTATAGGCTGCCTATAATTGCTGAGGCCTTCCAGGGACGGAGGCAGCTGCCTAAATGAGTTGGTGGGGGGGACACACACGTGTGCTTGGCGTACTTCCTCTCCTTTCGCTTGTCTGCTTCATTCCTTATTAAATTTACATCCTGACTTTTTACCTGCAAGGAGCCCAAGCAGCTTACAAGTTTCTCCTCCTCTCCATTTTATCCTTGGAACAACAACCCTGTGAGGTGGGTTAGGCTGAGATCCGTGTGCAGCCCAGAGTTGCACAGTGAGCTAGCTGGCACCGTGGGGTCTAGGGCCAGGTCCCCGGCCTGCTCCTCTGCACGGCCCCGCCCTGAAAGCCCGGAGGCTGCGGGCCTCTCCCGCACTGCCTGTCAGGCCTGACTGTGTGCTGCACCCTGCTTTTTGCAGAGGTGGCGCAGTTCACCCCATGCCTCATTTCGGAGAAGATCTTGCTGCGGCTGCTGAAACACCGGGATGTCATCCAGGAGCTGAAGTTCGACGAGGGGAACAAGAAGGCCCCCCAACACTTCCTCTTCCACAGGAACAAGCCGGCCGACTTCTTCATCCTCATCCTGCAGGTATTCCACGTGCCAGGAAGGCAGGCAAGCCTTGCCTGGGGGGGGAGCCGCCCCCTCCAGCCACAACCGCCGCATGCAGTGGCGTGCATTCCAGTTCTCCGGTCGCCACTCAAATTGGTCGTGAGCCAAGTCAAATTTCCCCATAAAGTTCAATGTAAATAAGGCTAATCTGTTCTGTAACTTTTTTTTTTAAATCAGAAAAATGTGAAGCAAAGCGACAAAGAACAGTAAAGATCCTGGTCATCTCCCCCCACACCACGAGGATGAGTGTGATCATCCCCCCCCCACACAACCATGATCGCGCCCGTCATCCCGGTGTGCTGGGAGGGGGGGACAGACGCGCCCGCAGTTGCGCTTGTGCAGGAAAGACGGGCACGATCTCGGCCATCTCCCCACGGGGCAGGGTGGGGGGGAATGGCCACGATCGTGATCGCCACCCAATGTGGAGTTCGTGACCTGAATCAAAATTTTTATGAAATGTTTGTTCGTGACCCAATTTGTGAGCCGAGGTGCCCCTGCATCTCCGTTCTGTGCACGGGCTTCCACGCAGGCTCAGGGTCTGGACTCAGACCTTAGGATTCCGTAGGAAGCCTTCTGCCGCCTTAGTCATAGCAGCCCTACGACTGGGAAATGGGTGCAGGGGCGTCCTCCCTCGCAGGATTGCTGCGAGGCAAATGAGTTAAGGGTATAAGCTTTCCCACAAGGACTGGACAGCGTCTAATTCTAGGTTCACTTTTCACACCCTTGTGCTTTCTCTGCCCTCACGGTACTTGGCCCTAATCCGTGCTCCGCGGGGGCTCTACATGCAGACGCTGCCGACCGGGACCCACGTTCCTTTTGTGCCCTCTCTCTCACAGGGCAAAGTGGAGGTGGAGACCGGCAAGGAGAATATGAAATTTGAGACGGGGCCTTTCTCCTACTATGGGGTGATGGCTTTAAATCCAGTTGTCCCATCAAGTAAGTAGCCGCCACTTTCGCCCTTGGCATTCTGGACCGATAGACCAAAACAGGTTGCCCCGGCTGGACTGAAATATTTCCTCGTCCTGAGTAGGGCAGGGTGCCGGGTCATTGCCCCAGGGGCTCGCTGAAAGGGTGTGTTTTGAGGGGGTGTTACGTTCCAAGCGTACGGAGCAACAAGGGACAAAACGGTGAGTCTCTGGAGGGTGGAGAGAGGAGCCAAGTCCCCGGCAGTGGTACTTTGGGATAGAAGAGCCGAGAGAGAGAGCAGGGCTTGAAGATAAGGACGGGAAGTGATGCTGGATCTGGGAACCAGAATAGAGGGGATGCTGGGAGGGGTGAGGGATGGCCCAGCTCCAAAATCTGAAATGCAGGTCAAGAGGGGAACAGAGTCTTGCAGAATGGTCCCCGAGTCTCAAGCAAAAGGGACAGAGGAGAGGGACTTGGCAGCATTGGGAGGACTCCCCCCGCCCCCCCCCCCCATGGCAATCGGGTGCAAGGGGTATGGGCAAAGCAGTGACCTTCCACGGATAAGTCTCAGCATGGGGGTACTGGACGCTGCGGCTGCAGCGGCGAAAGACTGCGATGGTGAAAGATGGCAAGGCTCAGGAAGAGAAGACCTCTGGGATGGGTTACTCGCTGAGCTCCCCGTGCTTTGGACTACAGCTCCCACCAGCCCCAGCCAGCAGGGAGTTGTGAGTCTCCATCACTGGAAAGGCACCAGCAGCAGTTGGGGAGGGGCAGCAAGATGGGAGGCCAGGAAGGTGAGCTTGCTCGGGGCGGGGGGGGAGGCTGGCTCACGGGTGGATCCTGGCAAGGTCTTGGCACTGCTCTCAGCCACCGCCTGGACCACCTCAGCTTTTTCTTCCAGCTGCTGAGAGACTTGCTTCCGAGGACTGGCACCCTTGGAGTGGCTGCTGGCCTCCTCCCTGGGGCTGGCTCTGCCCCCCAGGCAGCCAACTGGCTGTCTTTGCCCTCTCGTGGGGACCTTTGCCTTCTGGGCAATGGGAATGCTGCCTTGCGCCACCTAATGGCCGCCTTGGGTATTTCACTCTGCTTTCCACCTTGCTCAGCCTTCCCCATCCTGGGGACCTCCAGATTTCTTGGACTACGACTCCCAGCATCCCCCAGCCAGCCCTTTGAGCCAAGCATCTGCATACATCTTCTGCTTGTTCTGTGGGCTTCCTGTTGCCTCGGTGAAGCCGAGGAAGCCAATATGGGGAAAGATCCGCGGACAAAGAACAAGTCAGGAACAGAGCGAGATTTTAGCCTTCCATTATGGAGAGCTTGTCCCCGCATTTCCAGCAGGAGCGAACGGAAATGTCCCCACCCAGCGCAAACTGTGCGGACAGATCCATGCTGGTTTCTTGTAACTTGTATCACGTTTGACAACCTGCCCTGAAGCCGTCGCTTGTGTGAGGCTTTTCCCTCGGGGGCCAGGAGCATGGGAATGCTTCCGTCACCGGGGTTGGTGTGCTTTCAGGGCAGCGGAGTAGGAGAGACGGAAGTTCTCCCGCATGTGGCCCACTGAAAAGAGCAGCAGCTGCATGAGAGGCCGGTATTTGTGCCAGAGGTGCTAGTGTGGGAAGGAACGCCACTCGCACTTCCCACCGTGGGTGCCAGAATATCCAGGCACAGCAAGCCAGCCTGCCATGGGCTTTATCTCACTTTTACCCTTTTGGAAACCAACGGCAGCAAGAATTCTTTGGTGCATTGCAAAGGGTTCCTTTGATTTTCTCCTCCTTTTGCACCTGCCTCTTGTCCTGCCTTCCAGCACCTCCGGCCATGCCCCATCGCCAGTCCCTCGTACAGCGCGGGTCCTTGTATGCCAAGGTGCCAGGTAAACTGCTCGTGCATGGAGTGAGGGCGCCGCATTAACCCTTTGCCTGGATTTTGTATGACGCGAGTGCCGTGTAGTAACGCAGCCCCGCGGGGCGGGCGGCTGTCCCCGGGGCACCAAGCGGGAGCAAAGAAAAGAGAACGAGGCCACCGTGGCCCTCCTGCTTCCTTGAAATTCGCACAGGGTGGCTGGAATGGGGCTCAAATCACCGCGTGACCCAGCAGTGGCCTTGGGCCAGAAAATCAAGGAAGTCCATTCATCAGGGGGAAAGATCATTGCATCCCCTGTGTCCCACATCGCTCGTGACGCGGCCTGTCATGGTGTAGCTTGAGGCATTTTAGGTGGCCTTCCTTTCTGTGTGGGAGGCACGAAAGACGAGTCGAGGGAGGGGTGAGCAGGAGGCTGGGGGAGGGAGGACGGACGGATGGACGGACGGACGGACGGAAGCATCATTCGTGCTCATGCTTGCCCTCGTCTAGTTTCAGAGGTGCGCTCACCGTCTCACATGAGCAACCTGCATCGCTCGGCCTCCCTCTGCTACCATGAGCACAGCGATTCCTTCTCCTCGAACTTCAGTGGCAGCAACAACCAGCTCAACGCCACCACCAGCTCCCAGTACGTCTCCGACTTCAGCGTCCGGGCCCTCATGGACCTGCAGTACATCAAGGTGAGGCTTGGGGTGGTCTTGCCCGTGGCCGCCTGAACGAGTGCGGGTGCTGGCGGCCGATCAGGGAACTGGCTTCCCCTCGGCAATAATCCGAATGCCAGTACATTTCCACGTAAAACCTCCGTCGTCAAGCAGCGCCGCAGCCCAGGCGCTTCCCTTTGTGTGGAGGAATCGGGGCCGGTGTGCCCCCCCCCCCGCCTTGGGGGGCCCTGCTGGGAGACCAGCCTAGTGAGACGATCCGGCGCTCCGTGCCAAGGGGGGCATCCGAGGGCAGGGGGGCAGCAGGGATCCAGGGCACTCAACTTCACTCTGCACAATGCAGCGGCTGGACGGCCCTTTCCTTGAACAGGCACCAGCCTTCCCCTGCTGGGGCCCTCCTGCTGCGCCGGACTGCAGCTTCTATCATGCTGGGAATGAAGGGGGCCGGTGCCTCTGAAGGCTCCGGACTGGATCGGGCTGCTCCCGTGCTGACGCTTCTCTGTGTCCTCCTCGCTGCAGATCACGCGCCTCCAGTACCAGAACGGCCTCATGGCCTCGCGCCTTGAGAGCGGCCCCCAGTCTCCAGAGAGCAGCCTGCCCAAGCTGGACGGTGCCTTGCCCAGGACGGACGACTCCGTGGGGACGGACGAAACGACGGTGCTCATGAACGAGAGGAACTGCCAGCATCGCAAGGTGAACCGCAGCCTGCCTCCGGACGACGTCGTGTGACCCCGGCCTTCGGGCAGCCGGCTCGCACGGGCTCGCCCACTCCCGTCCCTTCCAAAGACACGCCGGTGCCCGCGCGCGGGGTCGGCCGCACGCCCGCACTCCTCAGGTAGCCGTGACACCCAGGGAGGCGGCGAGGAAGACGAGAGGACTTCCCTGCGCGTCCCGCGTGCGTCTCCCTAAGCCACCTGAGCTTTCCCGGCCTGCTCCGCCAAGGGAGGTGGCCCAGCCCGGAAGCCAGTGTCCAGCCGCCAGTTCCATGGACGTGGGCTCTGGATGCCAAAGGCAGTCCTCTTTCAGGGCAGCCAGATCCTAGGCACCTGCTAGAATCTGGATCCACTCTGGTTTCGTTTTGGGTCGGCAACCCAAGGATGCCCAAAGAGAGCTCTTGCTTTTCCTATGCTGGTTTTTTAATTTAAAGAGACGGAAAGGGAGACAAAGCAATAACAAGACAGGCAACCTCGGAGGGGGGTGTCTTTTCCCAGGGTCTGCTCGCTTTCGGTCCTCTCTCAGCTGTGGGCTGTTCAGGGGCACCTCCTACCTCCGTTCCAGTGGCACGTCGATACAGAGACTGCGCAAACTTGCCGGAAGGAGGCGGGAGCAAGGATGGAGCTTCTCACGACGTACGCAGCCGTCTGTTGATGAGACAGGAATTCTTTTCCCATCTCAGGGAGTTCTGAATCTTGTATGTTGTCTAGGGATATATTCTGTATTTTTTTTATTGATCTGATCGGGGATTTGATCGAAGACAAACGTCCGACAAGCGTTGGGGAACTCAGCGGGATTGAAACAGTGGTTCTTTGCCTTCCATCCAAGGGAACCTTAATTTGCGATACTGTTTCCCCATCCAAGCTCTGGCTGGTCCCATCCTCATGGACTGAGCTCTGGGATCATTGCTAGGCCAAGCATTAGAACCAGGGATAGATAGCATCCCGGGGTGATGGGGATGACCTGTATGACTTTATATAGCAGGTGAAAGCTTACCTGTGCTTAAAAAATAATAATAAATATTGGCAGAGCAGGGAGGCAGATGGGCTAGAAGAGTTTTCCCTGATGGGCTCCTTTCTCTTCGCAGGGAAGTCCGTTCTTGTTTTGGGGGGGGCTTTTTTTATATAGGGGAACATTCCAAAATGTTACTCCCTGGCCTCGGACGGTACTGGCTGCTTGCCTTCCTCAGATGTTCTACCTTGTTTGTCGATCAGGCCAAGGAAATTAACTCCCAGGCCCTTGTGTTCAAGGAACTGCGTGCTTCTGCACGACCGATCCAGTGGCAATCGCGGAATCAGTTGTGCAGAATGGCTCAGAGAGCCCTCTGGGCCAAAAGGTTGGGGGCAGCGTTGGAAACTGGCTCCAAGGAGCCCTGCAGTCATTGGTGGAGGCAAAAGTTTTTTAAAAATATTCCTTTAGGGAGGGCTTAAACGCGTGCTTGTAATTGCAATCATAACTTGCACGCATTTCCTTCTGGTGAAACCTGATTCAAATCTCAGTTGATCTTGGTCAACTTGCTGAGCCCCCTGGCAGTCTTCAAAGGCACATGTGGAGTGAATTCTTAAAATCCGGTTTTAGGGGGCAGATGGCCCTATGAGAAGACACGGTTCTCTCCATTCTTCTGCAGCAACTGACTACTGAGATTCCAGGGCAGGAGTTGCAGGAATTGTGTTCATTTCCAGTGATCCGGTGGCTTTTGGATGTAAAGCCATTTGAGCGCAAAATAAAGTCTATCGGTGCCATCGACCTGGTACTTGATTTTAGTAAGGGAAGAGGCTGGGAAAGGAATAGGCCACTTGGAGGGTCACTCTTTGCCAGCAAGGCTGTCAACGTGATGAGTAGGCGGAGGTGAGGGGGGCTCTCCCCCCACATGTCATTCCCCTAGATCAGCCAGGTGCCTGCAGGTGCCGGGCCACAACTCCTGTACATTGTAGGGTGTTGAAGTGATGATCTCTGTACGGGATTCGGGCGCTGCGGTTTACCCACCCCATCCGGGGAGCACTGGGCTGGGGAAGGCGAATCTGGGCAGCGGACTCCCCTCCCGCGGGGTGAGCCTGCCTCTGCTGCAAGGCTGCCACAGTGCAAACCGGAGGGGGGCCCTGCTGGGGTGGCCACCTGCAGCCCTCCAGCACCCTCCCGCTCCCCAGGGGCCCCACATTTCTCCCTTGCTGCCACGTCCACTGCTCCTGGTATGTCCAAATCCTTCCTCGAAAAGCCACCTTTCCTGCACGGCCTTTGGTCCCCGTACCCTGTGGAAAGAGGGCAGCTCTGGCTGGTCCAGGAGCCGATGTCTACCTCCAGGACTCTCCTCCCACAAGGAGTCGCTGAAATTCAGTGGCAACTCCCTAAATCCTATTAGTTACTCCTGACATTTGGCAGTAAATCACCAGGGAGACCCGAAAGAGCCACATGTTGCCAGGAAACAAGCTTCACTGCGCACTGTTCACCCTCTGCAGCCGCTTGCAACCCTTCATCCCGCTGCCGGCCCGTGGACACAAGTTGCCCGTCACTCCCCTACGGACACGAACCCTGACCAAATGCAGCCGGAGTGACGTATCCACCAATTATACCCGCCCCCGTTTTACTCTCTTTCCTCCACTGTCCACTGTATGTCAAATCCAAGATTGTAAGTCTTTTCTAAGGCAGGCATCTGTCGTCCTAAAAAGAACAACGGTACTATATAAAGAACAAGGCGAGGCGTGCACTGGCTTGGCCTGTGTCGGAGCGACGTGGCATCAGTGCTGGGTAAAGTTTGGGTGTTGGATCAGGCCAGCTTTCCAGATTTTTTCTTGTCTCTGGTTTCCGAGCAGTCACCAGGGATTCCCCATTTGTCTGCGGTTCCAAGGAAGGGTTTTTTTAGAATGAAGCACCCGGGCCAGGATGGGATACCCTATCCTGGGCAAGATGTGGCAGAGCAAGCCCGGATTAAGGAAATCTAGAGCTGCAGATGCGATACTTAGAAGATTACTTGCTCCTGCCCAGTAATCTGCTGGAGGAGTTGGGAAGCTAAGCATCCAGTGAAAGCGGTTAATTTGGTCACTCCTGTTCTAAAGACTCAGCAAGAAGTCCTGGACCAAATTATGCAGCCCAGAATTTCTTCCTGTTTCATGTTGGGTTGCACTGGGACAAAAGCTCCCCTGCAAAGATTGGATCCATCTTGGGAGGGCACTGCTTTAAGATGCTTGCTTCTTCTTTTAAATATGAGATAACAAAATATTTGTCTTCCTTCTCTTTCCTCTACTGGCCCCTTTTCTCCATTTTCCTTTTAAAAGTTTTGCCACTGCTATATATAAGCAGCAGCTTGATGCTTTGAACCGAAATGCCCCTAAAAAGGCAAGGTCAGGAGATGGCATTGTTAACACGGGCATTCAGAAGTATGGCATCCAAGGAACACAATCAAATTACCGAAAGCGCTTGAAGCACTGGCAAGAATTTTTAGAGCAAGAACCTTTCAGCCACCTCATATTTAAAGTTAAGAATTCCTTAAAATCCCATGCCCAAAAGTCACCAAATATCCTGCCTCCCTGTGAGGAATAAAGGAACTGTGGAACTTGTGTGCAGCTATTTCACCTAGCTTGACTCAGAATTACCTGTTGCATCTCTGAGTCCCTGTTCTGGGCCTGTGTCAGACTTCCTTTCACTTCTGGGCTTACATTTTGCAGCAGGTCAAGTTAGAGCTGCAGATCTATAGTGAAAGTACATAAGGACCGAGGAGGGACCATTTTACCTTGTGCAATTTGCCATGAACCAAAAGAGAACTTGGAGCAAAATGCCTCTGCATCTTTACTTGGAAGTAAGTCCCACATGCTGGGTGGGCCTTTCTCCCAAGTAAGTGTGTTTAAGTTTGCACTTTACTGCAAGATTTAGCCATCCACTTTGTCCTTCCACACAAGGGGAGTGTGTGTGCATACTTTACACTCTTTCATACAAAAGAGTACACTTATTCTCTGTTAAGTTGTACATATTGTTGGTGGAATGATAATTTTACTCCCGAACATCTCTCACAGCAGGGAGCCTTCAGAGGCTGTACAATTTCTTAGCAGAAAGTATTTTTTAAAAAGTTCCAAATGGTGCCTCCCCTTAAAAAGTATAATTAAAAAGCCAAAACGGTTTGGAAGTTGCTGCCTTCAGTCTTAGCAAACAAACTGGCAGCTGTTTAATGCTGAGCCAGCCATGTCCTGTGGGAACTGTGTTTGAACTGGCCGGGAGTTCTCCTCAGCCGAAATGCTTCCTGAAATTGAGGACATTCGGCTCGTGTCGAGGCCCAAGTCTGAACCCTAAATGCACTACAACTTCTTTGGTGACTCCATGATACTGTTCCTCGTTTCCCCCCTGTGGGGTGTGAAATTAGGGGAAGCAACGAGCGCTTGGTGGCAGGAACTGTGTGTGCCTTGAATCCACAGCTTGAGAGGAGGGCAGTGCAGATCTGTTTTAGTTTTCTGCGGTTCGAGCTGCGAGGATAGGATGGACGGCAGGGCAAGCCGGCTCTCGGCATTCCTCCCCAATGCTCCGGCTGCAGGGGTCCCCAGAAAGCTTCTGGCCCAGCAGGAGACAGGACAGAACTCCCAGCAGAACGGAGGTGCCGCCCAGCCTTCATCAAGGCTGGCTCACCGCGCCTGCCCAGGGGTGCTGTGGGATTGCAGCGTGGCTGGGAAGCGGACCCCCGCCCGAGGGGCCTGAGGCTGGAGGAACGGGGACATGGCGAGGCCTTTTTGGAATGCTCCCCTGTGCTGGAGGCGGCAGCGTTGGGTCAAGCCAGCCGAAAACCCGCACATCGGGAGGAAGCCCGAATTGGGATCGTGCTCCTCTGAAGGGAGACCAGCTGCTTTGGTGGTCTGCCCACTGATTCCCCGCTTGTCTGAGCCAGGCCAGTAACCTTCCCCCCAATCCCCATTTCCTGTATGTACCGAAGCAGAATTAACTCAGAACAGTTGGGTTACTTTATAGCAATACTTGATTCTGGAAATCTAGGGAGAAAGCAGCTTCTTTTACCTTTTGACCTTTTTGGAAAACTATGCAGATGGGCGAAATCCATCTTTAGCCAAAGAATGGCATCCATTTTAACCACCCTTGCAGGGATATTTTATGCAGGTCTTTGAGTTTTTAAGCAGCTTTATTTGACTGTATATGTGTGTCCTTTGAATGTAGCTTTTTGTCTGACTTCTAAATTTCTGTTGCGTGCGGGGGTTGTTGGGGTTTATTTCCCTTTTGAAAATATTATTATTCCTAAGGAAAGCACAGTGGTTTCTCAACATTTGCCCCTTTGTGGGTGACATGATGTAATTTATTGTCTTTTTCTGATCTTAAAATGCAAACACTAAACTTAAGATCCTAGCTCCCATGAAGGAGATACGCTTCTAAAAAATGAAATAAATAATATTATCAAATCACCATGTGGTAGAAAATGCCAGTGATTTATATTTCAAAGCTGTACTCTGGTAGTCCTTGAGTGAACCAGGCTGTGAAAGGAGGTTTGCTTGGAATCAGTGGGGTTTAATTTCCGAGGATAAAGGATGCGAACTACTGGGGCTGCCAACTTTTTAGCCACTGTGCATCTGTGCCTTTACAGCAGTTTGATCTGCAGGCCTTAGTAACAGGCTGTGAGAAGTTGCTTCACCTGCAGACAAACCCTGGCAGGCGGCATCAACTGATGGAAACAACAGCCTGTTTAAAAGCAGAGGAGCAGGACTGGCTGAGTTTTGATCTGATCAGTTGGCAACCTGGTTTTGCATTTGTTTCGAAATGATATATTTGGGACCACAGGAGCTCATGCTCTCATGGTTGTTATTTTCTATGGGTTCTGTTATTTGTCCCTGGTAAGCCACTGTCTCCCGTTGGAAGGCAGCGGGGGCTCTCCTTTTAAAATGTAAGCCTCTGTTGTTCTCACCCTGATCTCATCCATCTGATTGGAAGGGCAACACCCACACGCTACTGCAGTTTGGACCTGTAATCTGAAATAATCAAGGACAAACTGAGTCCATAAATCAGACTCCTAGAAGGGCAGAGTTAGAAGAGGCCATGAAGGCCCTCGGGTCCAACCCCTGCTGTTGCAGGACACCACGTCACACCCTCCCACTCAGAGGGCTGCCCAGTTTCCCCTTGAATGCCTCCAGTGTGGGAGAGCCCACCTCACAGTGGTCCCACTGCCACATTGCTCTGACAGTGAGGAAGCTTTTCCTGATGTCCAGCCTGAATCGGGGTTGTCACAACTTGAACTGATTATTCCGTGTCCTGCACTCTGGCATCAGCTAGAAGAGATCTTGACCTTCCTCTTTGTGACAGCCTTTGGGGTACTTATAGAGGGATCTTGTGTCCCCCCGTCTTCTCTTCTCCAGGCTGAGCATGCCCAGTTCTCTCTATCTCTCATAGGGCAGTATTTCTAAACTCTGGACCGTTTTTGTTGCCCTCCTCTGGGGCAAAAAAATCCTAGGCTGCAACTCTTCCCCCTGCTGGGGCTGATGGCACAGCAGAACTGGCAGGCCAGAAGAGAATCAGGGCCAGAAGCAAACGGGTTTTCCCTGGCACTGAAAAGACCAGTATGTCTCCAGGGAAAGCGTTGCACCCGGAGTGATACCAGCCAAGGGGCTCTCCTTGGAAGCCCCTGGACTGACCTCTTCCGGTGAGGGAATTGGGGGTTCTGTACCCATTCCCGGGGCCTGGGCAGATGTGCAGGGGAGGGAAAAAGCCTGCCAAGGGCCAACTCGTGCCAAAAGCTCGTGCCCACATGCCACATGCCTGGCGTGCCCTTTTAGCCTGACTTGGTTCATCCTCAAAACCACCAGTTTCACACTCAACTTGCTTTGCATAGCGAACCTGAGGAGTGTGGAAATGTGCAAATTGATGTGCTTCAGAGTCGCTGAAAAGGAGCCTTCCAGGCATATTAGGCTTCTTAAGAGGGATGTGTAAGCATCAGGTTTTTTTCATGCTGTGGAAAATCCTCAACCAACGAGCACATCACCTTCCTCTGCAAAGTTTCACATTGTGATCCCTCTTCTGGAGGGTCAGCAGTTTGCACAATGCAGTCTCTAACTGGGTTTTACTTTAATCTCTGAGTCCATTCGTGATTACCTATTTAAGCAGGTCCCGAATCTCCAGGACATTTTGCCTTTTTCACGGCACTGTGTTATCCACACGGAAGCCACAACCTGTCTCCAAACAAAACAAGAACTGGTAGAGAGAACGAAATGCTGCAAATTTTGCAAGAGCTCTTATGCTTGGTATCCCATTAGAATGCTTGTCCTGCCGCAGCCAATAAGGTGTTTGAGTGCCCAGGCTCTGCTGTTTTGAAAAGCTCCCGCCCATTTCTAGTGGAGTGGGCCTCTTGAACCCTAGCGATCTGCCGAAGCTCCATGGATTCCACCCTCCAGCATTTGCAGGCTTGGTCTCATGCTCAGCCCTATCCTGGAAAGCGAGCCAAGCCTCAAGGAAGGTGGCAAATGCTCCGGAATGAAGGTTGGAACAACCAGCAACCACCTGCAGCAACACAAGGACTGCACCCTGTGATGCAGCCGCCAAACCCCATGACCCCACATGCCTGGGAGCAGACCAGGGATGCCGGCATCTCGACTGCAGAGCTATTGCTAAACTATTGCACTGGCACAGCTACTCAGCTCTGGTTAAACAATGAGTCAGAAACCCTTGTGATCAACTGCGAATCAGCTTGAGAGCCGCCTGTCATTCCAGTCTACCACAAGGAACAATGCAACCTCACGCCTGGAAGCATCATCAAAGCAGATGTTCGGGCAGTGATGATTTTCAGGCAGCCTGGCCTGGTGGGAAAGTAGCCAGGAGAAGGGCAATCTCCCACAGGAGATTCAGGACCCAGTCACTCCCGCAATCTCTGGTTATCTAGGTTATCTGTGATAACATGGGATGTAGTCTCTGTCTGTTCTAAATGGCATTTTGTTCTGACACAGGCTGGAGCCCGCCCTTGTTGTAAATTAACCGCTGAAGGATGCAGATAAGGTGGTGTTCCTTAATTGGCATGCCTGTGATTGCTGCTGTTTGCATTCCAAAATAACTGGAAAGGTTTCTATTTTCCTCTGTATAACCATGGCAGTTTGCATGAGATGGGCACTTTTCCTTGTGAGGAAGGGCACTCTGTGGACACTCTGCCTGCTTGAATTCTCTCTCCAGCCCTGCTGGTGTGTCTGGTTTCTTAACCGCCTACCTTTTGCTGTGGAGAGGTATAGAAGTAGTAGTAGTGGTGGTGATGCCAGGATAAACCTGAGGGCAGAGGGAAGTCCTGCTTCTTCCACCTGGAACCCCAGTGAAATTCCCACTGGAGAAGCAGGGTAGTGAAGTGGTTTAGGGCGCAGGAGCGGGACTCAGGTGACCCGGGTCCCAGTCCCCGCTCAGCCAGGGAGCAACTGAGTGACTCTTGGCCAGTCCCAGACTCTCAGCCCAGCCTACCTTGCAAGGCTGTTGTGGGGATAAGGATGAGGAAGTAAGCCCCATTGAGTTCTTTGTAAGAAAAAGTGGGATATAAATACCTGTAGCTTCCTAAGCACCGTCACTGACAGGACTGGCCTGCCCCATTTCAGCCAGAAACAGACACTCCCTTCCATTGGCCCACAGGCATCCTGCTTGCAACCTGGCACCTGCCCGTTAAGCTCCATCAGGCACCCGAGCGAAGGCGCTCCCGGCTTTTCCACAAGGGGGCAGCAGGACATTATACAGCCGCAAAACCAACCTGCGCTGCTGTACGAAAATCCCCGCAAGGGGCATACCGCCATCAGGCTAACCAAACTGTCGCAAAATTAATCTCTAGAACTCTTTGGCCTGCTAACCCAGCTTTCTCCAGTCTGGTGCCCTCCAGATGAAGGCTGGACTTGAAATCCCATCATTCTGCTCTGAATCCAGGTCTGAGCATTGTCATGGATTGGATGAGGGCCAATACTCAAACTGAGAATCAATCCAGACCAGACAGAGGTGCTGTTAGCAGGTGGTTTGTCCGTCCAGGTGGGCGACATTCAACCTGATCTGGGTGGGTTGCACTCCCCCTCAGGGACAAGGTTGGTAGTTTGGGGCTACCCCTGGGACTGGCTTGGGGTGCTCCTGGACCCGGAGTTGTCACGTGAGGCATGGGTGGACTCTGGCACGGAGCACCTTTGATCAGCTTAAACTGATCTCCCAACTGCTTCATGGAGAGTTCAACTACAGGCTCTGTAGGGCCACCCTTGGAAACGGTCCGGAAACTTCAGCTGATCCGAAACAGGGCAGCAAGATTGCCGATGGGGACTGGCTCATGGGAACACAGGATGCCAGTCCTCTCCCAGCCGCCCTGGCGGGAGGCTGAAGCCCAGACCCAGCAACCCAAAGTGCGGGCACTAACATTCAAAGCCCTCGATGGCTTGGGGCCAGGTTATCTGAAGGATCGCCTCCTCCCATATGGACTCCGAGGTCATTTTTGGGGGTTCTTCTCCAGGAGCCCCTTTCAAAGGAAGCAACATGGGTCACTTCCAGTGGGGCCTTTTCGGTTCTGGCATCCCAGTTTTGGGGTGAGCTCCTCAAAGGGGTGTGCCTGGCACCTACTCTCTGTTTTTGGCACTGGTAAAGCCCTGTTTATTCCCCCAGTATTTTAAAAGCTTATCTGTTGGACTTTCGTTTTAGTATTGCATTTTATCCTGCACCTCTGCTATGCCTCCGTGCAGATTCGGTTGCAATTGCTGTTGAGGTTTTGTTATTTTATGCTAAACGTTTGTTGTCTGCGTGTTTTTAACTTTTGTGAACTGCCTGGAGAATGACACAAAATGAGTGAGCAAGCAAGGGGAGCAGGCAAGGAGAAAGTGCGCTCACAGAGGGTCTCCTGCCCAACCAAGGGGGCTCCAGCAGCTGGAGCTGGCCCTGGGGACAAGGACCAGCACCTTACTTAGGCCAAGATAACCTCATATGTTAAGTGGGAGCAGAATACAGCCACGTCCATGGCTGGAGAGTGTACCCCGAACCCCATACTATGGCAAAAACGGGGGACCCTCCCTTCCGTTCCCCCCGCCTTGTGATTGCTCAATCAAACTACGCAATGACCTGAAGTCATCCTCCTGAGACCACACACCCTGGGAGCCACCTCGTCGCTATCAGGAGCGATTAATTGTGATGACGAGCTGGAGCTTGAGACCTCTGCATGTTGTAGGCAAGCAATGGGGGGCAGGGGACAGCCCCTCCAAGTTGCCCAGAGGCATCGGGCTCAGGCGTGGCTTATTTATTTATTTGACATTTTCATACACTGTCTGATCATTGTAAAATCTCAGGACGGTTGGGGAGGGAACCCTGAGCAGGATGGAGGGTGCACTTTGTTTGATTCTGGCTGGCTGGTTTTTATTCTTGGCGTCCTTCGGAGGAAAAAGGGAGCATACTTTGCAGCCACATGGCAACATGGTGCGTCCTCCTCCTCCGAACAATGACCGGGACGCCCTGCGCAATTCCGTGAATGGAGAATTCACAGAAGCGCCTCTTCTGGAAACAAGCGGTAAGGTCCTTGCCCCGTGTAGCTTACAATCAGCAAGATGACACGGGGAAAGGCCCCCTAAGGTGTTCTGCTCAGGCCAGTGACAGGCCTGACAACGACTCGGTGCTAAATGTGAGTCTTGAAGCGGGGAGAGGGACAGAAAGAGAGGCAGCATCGCCGGGGATCCTACGAGCGAGGACCGGCCCGCAGAGAGGGAGGGCAGAGTCCTTTGCAGACAGGGGAGGTTCGCTGGCCTCTTGCAACGCGGGCTGGTTCTGCGGAAGGAAGAGAACTAGCAACCAGCTTTAGTCCAATGAGGCCATTTTGCTACGCTTGCTCCCAATACTTCTATACATATAAAAAACGTGCAAAGCATTAAGGGCGCGCAACAGGTCCTCCCTGCGTGTTTTCTCAGGAGTAAGTCGCACAGAGTTCTGCGAGGCTCGCTCCCGAGTAATGAAATGCATGCTCTTCCGTGGCTTGTTTACTCGGGAGTAGGTTCCGGACCTAAACCATCCCCTTGGGGCGCTGCAAAAGGAGCGCTTAAAGCAGCCGGGCAAACCAGGCTCGCGGCCCCTTTAAGCCGCAGCTCCCTTTCCCCCGCCCCTCCCCTTGTTTATAGCACGGCGCTACCGACCTTGCACCCTCTGGCCCCGCCTCTTTGCCATGGCCACGCCCCCGAACGCGCCTATTGGGCGATTCCCGGCAGCCGCGCGCCACCATTGGCCGAGGCGCGCACCGGCGGGCGGGCGCGGCGGCGCCCGGAGGGCAGTCAGCTGACCGTCGCGGGGCCCGTCCACTCCCCCTCGCAGCTGCCCGCGGCCGCCGAGGGCTCCGCGATGGTGGGTGCGCGCGGCTGGCCGGGGCTGCTCCGCGGCTGGGCCGCCGCCGCCGTGTGGCTGGGCTGCGTGGCGGTGCGCGGCGAGGCCTCGGCCGCCGCCGGGCTCCCGCGCCCCTCCCCTTGTTTGACCACGCAGGCC